TAAAAGTCACTCTGAGTGTTTATCCATGTCATGGGGCATTACTTGGCAATAAAAAGGAATGAACTAAGTACAAATACACACTGTAAGATGGATGGACCTCAGAACATTATGCCCAGTGAAATAAGGCTCACACAAGTGACCGTATACAGCGTTGTGATTCCAGTTATAGTAAATATCCGGAAAATGCAAAGCTGTAAAGACAGCATACATTAGTTTTTGCCACAGGCAGGTTTGGGCAGAGATAAGGATTAACAGTATATGCACAAGAGATCACACTGGGATGATGGCAGTGTTCTAAAACTGATTAATGGTGATGGTTATATTCTGTAGTAAATTTACCAAAAAGTCATTGAATTACATGCTTGACTTATATGATATACAAAAATGCCTTAATAATTACCTTTTAAAAGAGACATTGTAAGTAAAATGAAAAGACAAGTCACAAACAGGGAGAAAATATATGTAAAACATGTGTTTTCTGAAAGATTTAAATTCAGATTATAGGACAAGCTCTTGTAACTCAAAAATAAACAAAGAAATACATAACTTGGTTTTAAAATGGGCAAAAGATTTGAGCATATACTTCATCAGGGAAAATATGTAAATAGAAAATAAGCACATGAAAATCTGATCAACATCATTAATCATTAGGAAAATGCAAATTAAAATCACAATGCACTGGAGGGGTAACAAAAATGTCAGAAGTCAGGACGTTTGAAAATTCTGTCCTCCATAAAAGTAACCAGAAGACCAGCAACAATTGTCAGAATTAAGTCTTTCATAATTAAGAATTAGTTCCAGGCTTACAGCAGTCTGGGGCGTGCTATTTAAGAAAAACCACTGAATCTTGGAGAGAACAGCAAGTTTTGTGGCACTTAAGCTTGCCCTGTTACTGTTTTGCTTCTCCACCTCTGTGGTAACCTTGAAAAACCAGCGCCGCACAAGTGCAGTGGGAACTGTCAGCCTGACAGCCCTTGAAGGGAACAGAACAAAGTTGGGCTCCTTCACAGCATCATCACTAGAGAATTGTCTTTGTCTGACGGCTCCCCAGAAGAATTGCTAATTAGTCTGTCTATTAGAGCCGACTCAGAGCTCACATGGTGAAAAAGCCTTTTTCCTGGGGTGTAAAAATTAGAGGCAGTTGAATAGCTTCACAAGTCCTGGAGGCAATGGATAAAAATTGGATCAAATTATGAACTTACCGAAAAGCTTAAAATGAAAACCTGGAGAATGAGATATCCAAAGAGGGACTATAGAAGAACTGGCACATTCTTGGAAAACTAGTTATGCTCAGAGTGAGGACCAGAGCTCCCCCAAAGTGAACTGTAGCCATTCTCAGCAAAACGGTCCCAAGCTCCTCCTCTGAAAGAGCAGTCAAGTTCATCAGGAAAGCTAGCATGGCAAGGTCCTCCTGCAGAATAGCCCAAGGGAGCCAGCAGCTCCCTAACAGCTTCCCAACAGCTTCTGACAACTCCCAAAAGCTTCTCCAGTTCTTCCTCACCAGTTCTGCCTCTTCTGTGGCTGGCAACAACCCTCAGGTGGGCCTCCCACACCCAGCACCACGCTGACTCAGGGCAGCTGAGTGTTCCAAGTTGACCACCAGCTGCCAATCCAGCACAGCACTTTTATTTGTAAGGATTTAACATGCCTAGGGCTAATGGATCCTCAAAGGTTTGGGAAAGCCTTAAGCTCTCACCTCTTGATGACCTTGGTGCTGTATGTAGACCAGAAGTGAAAGCTAAGGCAGGGTTATGTGTCCTGGCTAAGGCTGAACATATGTCCTAACATGTGCACGAGCCCCTAAGCATAGACTGGGAGACATACTGGTTCTAGGCCAGTGATGGCGAACCACTTAGAGAGGAGCGCCCAGACCCCCCAACCCACTTGTTTATCGCAAAGTGCCAACACTGCAGTTAAACCTGAATATTGAGGCTTTAGTTTAGAAAAAACAATTCATGCATTAACATCGTTCATTTTACAAACAACACAGGTGCCATAGCTTGGCCACCATTATTGTAGACATTTATGGAAATCTCTGGCTAATCAGCAGTTGACTACTAAACCAGCCGCGCAGAATCTTTAGTGCCCACACATGACAAGGAATCCAGACTTCAAACTTTAGTTTAAAAAATGAACTAAACAAACAAATGGACAACAAACAATAGACAACAACAAAGGAAAGTGAATGTGTTACTCTTCTGAGGCCAGAAGACAGTGTAGTACCCGGAGAGGCCGCCTCTCACTGTTTAATATGTCCTGTTTACCGCAAAGGCTGGAGACTTGGAAAAAACAGGAAATTGTGCCCATACACAAAAGCCCAGCATCTCTGAGAAAGCCTTGACTTAACAAAGACATCAACTGTTTTAAATATGTTCAAAAAATGGAAGGAAACCATGCCTAAGAGCTAAATACAAGTATGAGAAAAATGTCTCATCAAATCAACAGTATCAACAAAGTAGTAGCAATTCTAAATAATAATAAACAAATGGAAGCATCGACTTTAAAAAGTATCGCTGAAATGAAAAATAAGTTATTGGCCGGGCATGGTGGCACAGGCCTGTAATGCCAGAACTCCGGAGGCTGAGGCAGGAAGATCATTAAGTTTAAGACCAGCCTGGGCTACAAAGTAAGCTCGAGCCCAGCCTGATTGCGTAGCCAGATCCTGTCTCAAAGAAAAAAGAAAAACAAAAAGAAGGTTATTACAGGTTTTACTACACTATTGATGGGTTTTAAAAATCTCCAACATAGTATAACTGTATTTTTGGCCTCTACACTGTTTTCTATTAATGCAATTGTGTAAAATAATAATTATAAGTCTGTGTTGATTAGAATAGAATACATAGGTATAATTTGTATGACAATAACAAAGGAGGGGGAAAGGGTGGAATATTTTTAAGGGTGGAGTTTTTTATCCATTGAAGGCAATTTGGTATTAATTTGAACAAGAATTTATAAATTAAGATGTTAGTTGTAATTCCTGGATTAACTACTAAGAAAGTAACTTTGAAAATAAAAAAATATGACAACGAATTGAAGTAGCATGCTAGAAAATATCTTTTTAAAGCAATAGAATATAGTAGTAGAATAATAAAACAAGACAAAAGACAAAAAAATAGCAATGTGGAAACAAGTTCTGTGTTATCAGTAATTACTTTGAATGTAAATGGATTAAACATTCTAATTAAAAGTCACTTATAGAAAGGGTAAATAGAATAGCATAGTCCAACTGTATGATGTCTACGAGAGACATAATAGGTTGAGAAACACATATAGGTTGAAAGTAAAAGGTTGGAAAATGATGTAATATTCAAATAGTAGCCAAAGGAGAGCTGGAATGGCTGTATTAATATAAGATAAAATAGAATTTGATAGATTTTAAAATTGTTACTAGAGACAAAAGACATTTTATAACAATAAAAAATAAATCTGCTAATTACAAACATATGTCCAAGTAACAGCAGAGTCCCAAGTATATAAAATACAAACTGTATTAAACAGAGACAGCTCAGTACTAATAATTGTGGACTTTAATACTGCATTTTCAACAATGTATAAAACAACTATGCAGAAGATCAACAAGAAAATGGATTCGAACAACACTATATGCTAACTATACCTAGCAAACATCTGTAGAACCCTCTAACAACAGCAAAACGCATGTCAACCTTATGTTCATGAAGAGCTATCTCTGTAAGTTATATGTTAGATTCTAAAACAAGCCTTGAGTATAAAAGGATTGAAATCATACAAAGTATGCATTCTGACCACAATGAAATGAAATTGGAAATAATAAGAAAAAATAAAAGAAATAACACATATGTGGAAGTTGTGACACACTTCTAAATAGTCAATCAGGGGAAAAATCATAAAGTAAATTAAGAAATGCTTTGAAATGACTGGAAAAGAAAATATCACACCAAAATTTATGGAATGCAGTGGTAGCAGTGCTTGGAAGGAAATTTATAGCACAAACACCTACATTTTAAAAAAAGAAAGAACTCAAATCAATCATCTAACCTCCCATCTTAAACTAGAAAAGTAAGATCAAAGTAAATAGCAGAAGTTAGGAAATAATAAAGGTAATAGTGGAAAATCAACAAAAAACTACTACACATTTGTAAGACTGCTAAGACTAGAAACATTAAGTACTGGCAAGAGTATAATTACTTTCTAAAACAATTTGCTAGATTATTAATAAATTTATATGTATACTTCCCATAGCACCTATCAATTCCCTTCCTTGATATTTACCTTAGAGTTATGCCATTTTTTCATGTTATAATTTAAAATAGAAGTATCTTAAGTTAAGATAATATTATCAAATAAATGTTTTTAGTAACTTTTTAATTTAATAGCTTTTAATGTTAAAAATGTAATTCTAAGTAGAATTTAAAATTCCTATTCTAATTCCTAGATCTTGTGTATAAATATATTTGAATTAACATAAAATGAATTTCAGAATCATGTGGGTGTTTTACCGTATTCTTTAAAGTTACTACTTGTGTATAAGGTCTGTAAATTTGCTCCCCTTGAACTTTTGAGAGGCAGATGTTGGCTGTAGTTAGCCACAGCGACAATGTGCACTGGTCAGCTTCTCTTTGATGTAATAAAATACCCAAGGCAATTAGCTTACAAAGAAAAAGGTTGATTTTGGCTCCAGTCCAAAACCTAATGGCCTTTTGCTTTCAGCCTCTGGCAAGGGCAGAGCATCATATCAGAAACCCATGGTGAGGCATTGCTCACCTCATGAGTCAGGAAGCAAAAGGACACATTCCCAGTGACCTAAGGACCTTCTGCACAACCCCAGGTCTTAAAGGTCCACAGCACTTCCCAGTAGCACCCTCCTGGGAAACCAACCCTTTGACCCTTGGGTTTTGGGGGAACGTTCAGCACAATGCAAATGACTGACTTTTTACTGTACACCTGAAGTTCAAGTTCTCTGTTGTCTTTGTGGATTCATTCTCAGATATTGGACTAACTTCCTTTTCATATTTTTGTAGGTTTATTGCTACTCCTGTAGCAAAAGCATTGGGCATTCAAAAGCCAGTTCAAAAAATTATACCAAATACCATCTTAGAGAATTTTTTCAAGAATTCCACAAGGCCTTTGCAAGTAAGTACAAAGTCTATGTTTGTGGATTTATGGGTTTCCTTTCTTTTGATTCAGTCATCCGTGGTTTACTTTGTCTGTGCAAGAAATATCTTCCAGTGATCAGCAAGGATTTGATTCATTTGGATTTCTTTCTTTGCTCTATTGACAGGTTATATATATAGTATTCCAAGCATAATATCAAATTACAAGTACATAATGTAAAGTAACAAATGTTAATAAATGTTCAACTATAGTGTTGCAAATTAACAATCAGTGCCATGATTTGAGTATAGGACCATAATTGGCTTTTCAGTGGTAGGTTAATTTTTAATGGTAATGTATTCAAAGTGTAATGATGAAGAAAGGTAATCATTAGCACAGAGAAGCCCTTATGTGACACTTCTGGTGATTGCGGCACCATCAAAATGCATCACATACATAATGAAACTTCATGGGTTATTTCATACGGAGCCCTCTTATTTTGTTCAAGGACTCGGCATACTCGGGAATGTGCTCTGCCCCTGACTACACTTCAGTGATAAAATTTTCAAAGTAGTCAAAGTTCTCTTTACAATAAAAAGTGTCCTTTTTAACCCATTTCCCATTTAGGAAAAAAAGTTTAGCTCACCGTGAGCAATTTCTAGCGATCAAGAGTAATTATATTTTGTGAATGGAAATACCACTACTAAAAACAGAATGCTACAAATAGGATGATGTCTTTTGTTTTCAAAGCCTAGAGCAATGTGAAAATAGTAGTAAAAATATGATATTTCATGGCAGACTTTTGGAGGAAGGTTAGGGCTGTAATCTGAGCATTAGCTCTGGGTACATGCTGTAGCCACAAGTGCCTCTGTTGAGTATTTTGGGGCAAATGGATTAAATGTTGTAGTGAACTATATCTTTACAGTTCACCAAAAAAGTCATTAGTGAATAGGTGTAAGAAACATGTCCAGGTAGGGCTGGGGTTCACTCCAGCATCATTATACTTCTGTAGTTAATATGAGAGATGAAACAAAACTATTCCGAAAAATAACATACCTGTTATGAGGAGTGCTTTCTGCTATCACAAATCATTTTGAAAATAAATAGTATATGCTTACACCATTTCAGGTTAGGTACATTTTTTGAGAGTCCTCAACTTTTTTCACTGGGATTTGGTTGCACTACTGTGCTTATTGTCTCATTGTCCTGGTGAGCTCCCTGCGTTCACAGGTGTGTTGAGATTTGGCCACACTGAGGCATAGGATGTGGAGCAGCTCAGAGCAAGCAGCAGCTGTCCCTCACTGGTTCCGTCCTCAGCTTCTGCATAGAAATGGCAGCTTCTAGGATGGTGGCAGCCTGAAAACCTGTGTTCACATAATGTTGGTTTCCACCTGCTCTAAATAACCATAGCCATTCATCTGAATACTTTTGCTTTCACTGGTGATAATGATGTTTAAACTCATTTTTACAGCCTTCAAAATTAATTAGCCATGCTTGTAAAAATGTGGGCTCTTTCAGCAGTCCTTATTCTGCTCGTCTGTTTCTCCTGGGGAGTAACTGACTCTAGTGACAGCTTATATAAAATGGGAGCAGTGTTGTTTTACTTGCTGTACTTGGTATGTATGACCAAGAACTCAATTAGGTTTCACATTATATTAAGGTAATCTAGAAAATTTAGTTTTTGTCAGTTTCCTGCTATGGAAAGAAAACAGTGACAGTTAAAACCAAGAACAACGAGAAGAGATTTAAAGAGCAGGTAATCCTCATGATTGAGATGAGGCAGCAAAGACCCAGCAAGGTGCAGTGAGTTGACCTGCAGTAACGAGTGACTAAATCAAAGCTGGAACCTCACGTGTACTCCTCCTAGAAGACTCTTCCCCCTCTACCCCAGTGACTTCGTCCTCTGTGAATGGCAAGTTAAAAAATACATTTCAAAACCTGGAGCTGTGTTTGTAGTCATTTTTTCAACTCAAATGACAATAGCCTTAATTAATGTGAGCATAATTTGTATATTTATATCAAGTAAGAGAAAAAAGTAACACATCACCCTAAAAGTGTTAAAAGCTTCATTTATTAAACAAGAAGGTAAAGGAAAAGAATTCAGATCCTTAATTTATATTGCTCTGAGATTCCAAATTTGAGGCAGTATTTGTGTAGCAAATCAAGATAACAAGTAAAATTCAAGTTGCTTAAAAGTTTCACAAATTAAAGAAGATAGAATATAATACACAAAGACAAAGTTCATACCTTAATAGAAATTTCAGATGTAGGAACAAACCAATTTCACCATACCCACATGCATTAATTTGGCCAATGTTATACCCATAGCATTTATCTTAGTTTATAGCTGAGATAATAAGAAAGGTTCCTGGGTGGACTAGTTTTGTGGTGAATATATTACAAATCTAGAACAGTATAACAGTGCATTAATAATATATGTAGATGACACCTTTATTCAAAAAATGGAGTAGAAGAACCCAAGAATGCTCTTCCCCTGCTGTAGGTTACAATAAAAACAGAATACTAGGGGTTATGTCTTGCTTTTGTTTTTCTTTCCTTTCCTTCAAGTTAAGTAATAGGCAAGCAGTTTCATAGGGATGTCAAAACTGCAGTTAGTCTTCTGCCAGTCTTCAGTATGGTGGCTTCTGATGACTTCATCTGCTATTGTCCTGTGCCCCTGGATGACTCCATGAACTATATGAGAGGAGATAGAAGAAGTTATCTGACTGGTCACAAGCTATGGGGGATCCAGCCATCAGGCTTCCAGGCAAGCTTTGCTTGGTCATTACCGTGCTAATTCATAATGGTTTAAATTTACTTTGAGGTACTCATCAATATTTTTTAAACCTCATGATCTCACATGAGAAACCTAGGGCTGCACTTTCTCTCTGGGAGTGTTAGAGATTTGTCTCACCTGGCCCTTTGGGATGGGACATAGGCTTTTCTTTTTGCTGCATCTGCATAGCTCCCACTGACTCAGAGAGTCTGTTTCATGCAATGTTATGTTTTCATATTAGAATTGAAAAGCTATTGAAATTTTTCTCATGTTCACAATAGAAAATGAAAGATCACAACACCCAAAAATCAATAGCATTCCTGCACACAAACAACAAATACATTGAGAGAGAAATTAGGGAAGCCACACCTTTCATAATAGCATCTAAAAAAGAAATACTTAGGAATCAGTCTAACAAAGGAAGTAAAAGATCTATACAGTGAAAATTGCAGTATTCTGAAAAAAGAGGTTGAAGAGGATTCAGAAAATGGAAAGATATTTCTTGGTCATAGAAAAGAAGAACCAACATTGTGAAAATGGCCATGCTTCCAAAATTGTTGTATAGATTCAATGCAGTCCCAATTAAAATACCATGAGGACATCTCACAGATCTAGTGAAAACTTTCCTAAAATTCATCTGGAACCAGAAGAAACCTAGAATAAAAGCTTCATATTCCCTGACTTGAAATTATGCTACAAAGCTACTATGATAAAATCAGGATGGTACTGGCAAAAGAAACGGACCTGAAGATCAATGGAACGGATTAGAAGATGCAGACACAGCTAGAAACACACTCAGCCACCTTATCTTTGACAAAAGGGCCAAATGTGTTCATAGCCTCTTTAATAAATGGTGCTGGAAAAACTAGCTTTCCACATGCCAAAGATTAAAACTAGACCCATGTCTATCACCATGCACTAAACTAAAGTCAAAATGGATCGAAAATCTAAATATTAAAACAGAAACACTAAACTACTGGAAGAGAAAGTAGGTAGAAATCTTGAAAACATAGGAGTAGGCAGAGAGTTCATGAACAAAACCCAAACTGCACAGGAAATATTTGAAAGAATCAACAACTGGGATCTCATCTTCTTGAAAATTTTTTGTACATCAAAAGAAATCACCAGGCCGAGTGTGGTGGCACACGCCTGTAATGCCAGCACTTGGGAGGCTGAGGCAGAAGGATCGTTGCGAGTTTGAGACCAGCCTGGGTGACAAAGTGAGCTCACGGATGGCCTGAACTGCACAGCAAGACCTTGTCTCAAAAATACAAAAAAAGAAAAAAAAAAAAACAAAACCCAAAAAACAAAAGAAATTACAAACAGAGTAAAAAGAAAACCCATGAATTGGGAAAAAATTTTAGACAACTGTCCATCAGACAAAGGACTTCTATCCAGAAGGTATAAAGAATTAAAAAAAAAAATTAGGCTTCCAAAATTCAAGACCCAATCCAAGAAATGGGCATCTGAGATGAATACACACATCACAGATGAAGAAATACAAAGGGCAAATAAATATATTAAAAAATGTTCAACATCATTGGTTATTGGAGAAATGCAAATTAAAACTACACTGAGATTCCATCTCACCCCAGAAAGAATGGCTATCATCAAGAAATCAACCAATAATAGATGCTGAAGGGACTGTAGGGGAAAAAGGAACCCTTCTCCACTGCCATTGGGAGTGTAGACTGGTGAAACCACTGTGGAAATCAGTGTGAAGATTCCTCACAAAACTAGGATTAGAGGTCCCACTTAACTCAGCTATTGCCCTCCTGGGTATTTTCCCAGAACAATTAAAAACATCATACCGCAGCGATATGTGTACCCATGTTTATATCAGCACAATTTGTCATAGCTAAATCTTGGAAACATCCCAAATGCCCATCAACCGAGGAATGGATAAAAAAGATGTGGTATTTTCATAAAGTGGAGTATTACTCAACTATTAAAAAAGATAAACTCCAGGCTTTTATAGGTAAATGGTTGCAACTAGAGACCATACTCATAAGTGAAATAAACTGGACCCACATGTGTAAACATTGTATTGTCTCCCTAGCGTAAGAACCTGAAAGAGTAAATAAGACCCAAAACATACAATAGATATTTTGAAAGGGAAAGAAATTGCTCAAAGGGAAGCACAACTGGGATGAGGGAAAGGAGAAAGGAGAAAAGGAAGGGAAATATATATATAGATAGATAGATGATAGATAGATAGATAGCTCAGATAATTGCATTGCTGATGTCTACTGGTTTATTGAAAGAACAGTTAATGCTTAAAATTTTTTGACCAATTTTGCATGCTTATATCTGGTAATCTGAACAACTAATTTGAAGACAACAATATGCAATATAATAACCATTGGTGAATTCCTATCATCTTGTTTAGTGAAGCTCTGTATCATTTCTAATTTTTCATTATTTTTATTTTCTTTAATGGTTTGATCAATCTTGCATTCTTACATCTGAACAACTTCGCTGAAGATAACAATATGTAATGTAACAACCACTATTCCTATCATTTTGTTTTCAAGCCCTGTATCATTTTTATTATTTTTGTGTTGTTTTGTTTTGTCTATGTTGTTGTTATTTTGATTTTTTAAATTCTCTTTGAAATAAAAAAAGAAAATGAAAGATCAAGAGATCAATGTAATTTCTTTTTTTTTTTTTTTTTTGTACCAGAAATTGAACTCAGGACCTTGTGCTTGCCAGGCAGGCACTTGTGCCACTGAGCTATATCCCCAGCCCCTGTAATTTCAAAACAATTGCAGAGCATATTACTTTGTGGAAGTAGGAGTATTATCATAGATTTACTGTACAAAACATGCCTGTGTCAACATCCCACTATGAAACAGACCTGATCTACTTGGTCATTTATCCTTTTTGTCTGGTCCTAGTAGACCTTTGAGGTTGTAACTTTGAGTTAATTCATCATCTATATTGTTTCCAGCTTGAAATTATACTCTACAACGCTTTCCCAGAGAAGCAACATCATTGTCATACTATACAATTATTATTTTAATTATTGAAGTATTTCAGAGTAGCTTGAAATAGGCCTCACATCTGATTTAATGTGAAAGTGGATAGCCAATACCTGTTTGAGTTTTTCTTGAATTATCTTCTGGAGCAATTAAATATCATGTGAAATAGCCCGAAACACCCTAGCCTAAATTTCTATCAGTCCTTTGGTATTAATTTTAGGACCTTAGACAAGTCAATAACATTCTTAGGAGTTGTTTCTCTATAGAAAAGATTTGGTTGGATTTGACTGACATTTTAAACTATACTACTCTTAAATAAATTTTAGCTAATTGAGTAAGCATGTACATACAGTTTCAACATGTGGGTTGCTATCAACTCACGGAGAATTAAAATTACTCAGTAACCTGAGATCCGAGTGACTCATATTCTCTCTGCTGTTACTTCATTTTGGGTGTGTGTGTGTGTGTGTGTGTGTGTGTGTGTGTGTGTGTGTGTGTATGATTCTGTGAGCAAAAGAAATATAGTCTCTGGTTTAAGGTCTCAGGGCAGAATCTTTCTCATCCCCAGTACAAAAGCTATTGTAACTGTATCTTACTCTCTGGACTGCTGGCTCATCTAACTCTGCTCTTTATTGTTTACTTACTTGTTTCATTTTTGTTTTCAGAGTGATATTTATGGACTAGCGAAGAAATGTAACTTAACAGAGCGCCAAGTTGAAAGGTGGTTTCGAAGGCGACGGAATCAAGAGAGGCCTTGCAGGTTGAAGAAATTCCAGGAAGTTTGGTGAGGAGGGTTATCAAAGCTTTTAGAGTGCTGCAGTTTCATCTGGAACAGGGCGGTCATCTCTGAGGGAACACTGACACTGGAGTGCTGGAAGGGTTCAAAGCCAGCTTGTCATTCCCTGTAGGGTATTTCAGACTTGTTGCTCCTCAACATTCTGTGCTTCTGTTCTCTTCTCTATGAAACAGGCCAACTATGAATTCTCTTAAGGTGAACAGGAGACATTATGTACTTAGCCCGAAGACCAGAAAAATCATAAGCGTGTCTTAACTGGTGTTTGTCTTTTCACCACTTTATTTCAGCTGTTTCGCTTTACCTCCCGTCTCCAGTCATTTTGATTATAAGCGCAGAGGTTGTCTGAGAACACATCCTAGGACTCTCAGCCTCTAATGCTAACTGGAGGATCTCTTTCTGCCTGATTGGACTCACAAGCCTTGGTCTTGCCTGAAGCTTGCCCAGCTTGCGCCTTTTAGAACCCAGTTGGCTTAGCTTGGGGGTCAGCATGGGCTGGGGCCTCCAGCAGTCTACCGAGAGGCTCCTTGAATACAGTCTGGAGGCAGGGAAGGTGCATTGGGTTTATTTTGAGTTTCATTCGAATTCTACTTTTTCCCCTCTCCTATATATAAAACCGTAGCACTTTCGATCACCCCTTTGGTGACAGAAAATGACACCCGTGCAAAACAAGTGGGTGAGGTCATTGCTCTTACTTTATTTCATTCCAGGTGAACAGGTATTAGTGCACTGTGTCTGATGCCACACTCTACACACCAATGTAATCTTACTTTCCATCTGTTTCTTAAGACCCTCGCATTCCCTAGTGACTTCTACCAGGTACTTTTGGTTTGATAGTGGAATGAGCAGCTGTCTGAAGTAAGATTTAAATAATCAGAGCCTGTGGTTAAACTTCAATGACTACCTTTGCTTTTCCTGTACCTCCCTGAGGACTGTAATCCAGCTGTGATGCTGTGAGGCTGGCCTAGGTCTACAGGGAAGGAGTAATTCTTCAGGCTGCCTCAAAACACTCATTTCTTATCCCCGGCTTCCTTCCATGGCCTTCCTACAGTGGCTCAGCATGTATGGCCTTGCTTATTTTCTGACAAGCTTTTCTCTAATTTTCACCTCTTGAAAGATTGGTTAATACTATGTTGCTAATGATGTCAGCTTGACACAAAGGTATCTAAGCCATCAAAGTGGGGCTGATCTCACATTACATCCCCCCTTTTCCCAAATGACATTAATTCATTCTTGCTAACAAATGATTCTTATCTCAAAGTCCCCAAACAAGGACTAATGCCCTATTTCTGAGCTGAATCATACCCCAGTGAAATTCTCTGGCAATTTCTTATGCACTGGAGTGCCTCATAGTTTATAAATATGCATTTCGTATTCCCAAAGGGTAAGACAGTCAGGGAAGGTATAAGAAATGAGAAACCACACGTTTATGTAGTTTAAGGAACTGCCTTGAGGTCACTTGGCTGTCTAAGGACCGTTGCACCCAGGTCTTCTGGCTCCTGTTCTGATACTCTTTTAACTCACCATTCTGCCCCTGCCAGCAAGCAGAGCATCTCCTACGTGGTGTAGCCTTGGGGATCAAGCTGTGTCAGTGAGTCTACCCACTGATCACTGGCCATAGAGTTCATACTACGGAAGAATTTCAATTATCCTAACCAGTCAGCCTGGCAAGGCAGAAGTTCATGTTGAGTATCTGTGTGTATCAATGTGGACGGAGTTTGACTTTAAGGGGAAATAAGTGTATAAGGCCTGGTCACTAACCTGAAACAGCTGACTGGGGAGACCACGCTATCGCACATGAAGCCATAACATCTGTTGTTATGACACCCCAGTTGCCTTGGATTGGCAGGACGTGATCACGTTCAGATGTGCTATGGGACTTCACAGGAGATAGGTCAGCAGGGCTAAGAGCATTGGAGAAAGGCTTTTCAGAGGAAATGAGACATTGGCTGGACCTTGAAGGATGGGTCAGGTCTCCATAGGAGAAGACAGTAGAATTTGAGGGTGGCATTTTGAAGTAAAGCAAAGATGCAAAGAAGGAAATTGTGCAATATATTCAGGAATTAGAAAGAGGGCCCACAAGTAAAATTTAAGCTTTGTTCTTTTCTTTAGCCATGTTACAAATTTCTTCTAAGTCAGGTAACTATTAAAAATTATTATGGTCTATGTAAACAGACCAAGCAAAATGCCAAGCTATGTTATTGTTTAGGGACTATACTTTATTCTGTTCACCTGTGGGACAGGTCTTAGCAATCATAGCTCAGAGTACATAGCCCCAGGCATTTTGGAGGCCTCAGGAAACTGATTTCCTAACACCAGCCTCTTAAGAATTGCTCTCCAACAGGCAGACAGTCCTGTTGGAGGTATTTAGAATATCCAGAATATTCAGATGGCGCTTGCCAGGCTCCCTGAACTCAGTGTATTGTTTCTTGGTTACTTTTCTTAATGATGGCCCCTATGCTATGCTCCACAGCATTTAAGATTTCAGCCCATAGCACGTCCTTTAGTTAAAAAAAAAATTCAAATTCCCTATTAGATGGCCACCTTTCTTTGTAAAATAAGCATTTCCATCTCGCAAGGGAAATAGTTCCTTTTCAAAGGGGAAGGATATCAAGAGGTAGACGGTGGGAGAGGGAGGGAAGGGATAAAGAAGGAAAAAAAAAAAAGGAATTGGGATGTGTTATGTACCTGTACTGATGCCTGTACACAAGGAACGCGAACGTTACGTACGACAAAAAATGTGCTGTACGAAGGAAAAAAAAGAAGGGTGACCAGGGATGGTGGAGCGGGGAGGAAGGGGCGGGGGAGGGGCTGAGAAGAGGAATTGGGATGGGTTATGTGCAGGCGTCAACTCCACACAGAGGGTGGAAACAGTATGCACTGCACACATGTATCGGTAACTAAAATTTTTTAAAACATCATTGTACAAAAAAAAAAGAAGAAGAAAAAGAAGTCCCTTGTGAGTGCCCCAGGTGTGTAGGGGGAACTCAGCGCAGGAAGGAGGCCCTCCTAGGCTGAGTGGCCTGAGCCCAGCCCTCAAATGACTCCAAGTGATGGACCCAGTGGACAGGTATTAGGCTGCTGTGTATGACAAGCGAGAATTGCAAGTGTACATTCACTGGTAAAAGGAAAAAGTGCCTGAATTTAGTGAAGATAATGGGAAGATAACACCATGTGTATGACTGTTCCAGGTCACTCTGGTCAGATTACATAGAAGAGATCCAATTCATAAGTGTGAACTTTTACAAGGTCTGAGTGGGGTAAAGGTTACTGAAGGTCAAACCATAGAGATTTTATGGGTCGTTGTTACTTTAGTTTTGCTTTTCTTAGAACAGTGAAAGGAGCGTTGGCCCTGGGCCTTTGCCCAAAATCAGGTGGGGCAGGGGTGTTTTCCAAGCCCAGCACGCAGGTGCACTGCTGCTCCATTCTGCTCCTCCACCGTGGACCCCTTCTGCTGCTCCGCCAGCTCCTCTCGCCGTTGGCCATGTTTACTCTGCCCACTTCTTCTCCAATCTCATTTGGCACGCGCATCTTATACCATGTGCTTAATTAATCAGTTTCTGAGTTTTTTCAACTCCCTCCCCACATTTATGTTTATTTCAGCCTTCCCTAGGGTAAAAGGGGAAGTTTTACTATTTTAGGTTCATTTGATGCAAATAAAATAGTATCAACAAGTGTAGTATATGATCATTGCTGTTACTCTCAGTGAAATGCAGTTCTCAGACTCTTGGACCTCAGGAGTCTTTGTTCTCTTACAGACTCTTGAAAATCCCAAAGAATTTTAATGTATACCTGTTGATAGTTACTATATTAGATATTGAATCTGAAACATTTATAAAACATGGGACGCTATGAGCACACTTTTCATTATGCACTATCTTCAGAGCAATGACACAGTCGTGCCATGTTGTAACAGAGAATGCCCACCTCACCAGTATACTTCAGTCTGTTAGTTGCCCAGGTAATAGTTCCTGTTCCAGTCCCTGTTGCTCCTGTCTCTTAGAAACGGCTGGTCACTGTGATGCACACTGTATAAACCTACACATTGTATAAACCAATCCCCAGTGGACAAGCCATTCTGCCTCTGTACTTCCTGCTTGCTTATCCCATATAAGCCCTAGACCATCAGAGATCAGGGTCTGATATTCTCGGAATGAGCCTGATGGGGGCCATCAACATAAATAAATCTGCCTCCAAATTCTGGGTGTCATTTTCGTGTTTCTGCTTACTCTTGCAACGTGACCTCTGCAAATTGCTGCTGCATGCTTATGACAGAACAAGAGGGGAAAGTAAGTAATGTTTTGCTACTATTATAGAAACCCTCTGACCTCAGGAATCCCTAGAACATACTTTGAGAACCCCTGATGTAGTATAATAAATGCTGAATTGGTCTGGTGCAAAAAAATGTGAAACGTGTTGTATTCTTGCATCTGATTATGCTCTACAACCTTGTATGAGTCATGTGAGCCCTCCATGTGCCAGTTTTCTGCAGTATTTACCTTAACTATTTTGTGAGAATCAAGCAACAGTCTGTAAGAAGGGGATAATTTTAGTATTAACTTCATAATCTTGAGAAAATGTGTTAAAATGTTGATAAAAATGTGATAAGGTGTGCTTAGCATCGTGCCTGGCACATAGTCAAGATGTCAGTAAGTGTTTGAAAAACAAATCAGATAAGATGTACCACCTAGACCTCTGCTGCACGTATGAGCAAGGTGGTCTAACTGTTTCCTACTCTTTGTGCTCCTCGTCTGGACAAGATAACCCAGGACCAAAGAAATGCTTTCCATAGCAAACACGGATATGACAAGTGCAGACAGATCTCAACTTTTACTTTATAAAACATCTCTTGAGTATTTTTACGCTTCAACTTGCTGAATATGGAATGCTTCTTTTTCCTTTTCTATCAAAACAAGTCATGAAGAAAGATTATATTCTATCTTAAGGTAGTAATAATGTTCAGGGAACACTATTGGATGCAGAGTCCAAAGTCTTGCACTTTAGGCCCCAGCTTTTCTACTTTTTAGGCACAGGAGCTGGGCAAGTGGCCCGGCCTTTATGAACCTTATTTTTCATCTACAAAGTGGGCATATGCCTATGTTCCTATTTCCTACTTATAAGTGTATTGAGGAAAGCATTGTAGGTCAGTGATGGCAAACCTTTCAGAGATCAGTGCCCAAACTGGAACCCAAAACCCACGTATTTATCGCAAAGTGCCAACTCTTCAATTAAACCTGAATACTGGGGTTTTAGTTTGGAAAAGTAACCGCATACATTAACATCTTTTACCTTAAAAGAAAAACAACTGCATGCCGTAGGTTCACCGCCACTGCTCTAAGGCATTGCACAAATAAAAGGAACAAATATTATTTTCACATTATTATTTTTGTTCACTAATCATGAAATAAAATAACCAAGATTTTTAAAATAACTTTATTTTGGAAAGTCGCAAACGTAGACAAAAGTAAAAAGACCATATAATGAACTATATACTGACCTATCACCAATTTTAACAATGATCAACTCAAGTATAACCCTGTGTCATCTATAGTCCCACCATAGATTATTTTAAAGCAAATATTAGGCGTGATATGATCCCATTTCATTTCTAAATATATAGTATGTATCTATAAAGGATAAGGACTCCCTTTTAAAACATATTTGCAGTATTATCGCCATGTCTAAAATAATTTTATTTCATAAGAACAAATACTAAATGTTCACATTTCCTTGGTTATCTTATAATTTTCTTTCCAGTCTGTTTATTTGATTAGGATCAAAGTAAGACCCGTATGTTGCAATTGGTTGATATGTCTTTTAAGTCTTTTCTTAATCTGTAGGTCTTCCCCCATACATAGGGAAAATCTTCCTTCAAATTCTGCTTCTAGGAGAAAAAGTCTGACTACACAGAAATTTTCCACGTGTTAACCTTAGGAAATTAAATAAATTATCGGATTTGTCAGATTTCTTTTTATTATGTTGATGATAATCTTGATATCAAACCTTCATTTATGTTATGTCTAGAACTGGTCCAGTAGTAGTAGCAGTAGCAGCAGTAGTAATAGTAGTGGCCCAGTTTGTTTTTGCTTACTTCATGCTAGAAGTATGCCAGTGCTTTTTATTGTATTTTTTTTTGGAGGGGGGAATGGGTTTTTAGTACCGGGAATTGAACTCATGACCTTGCATTTGCCAGGCAGGCGCTGTGCCACTGAGCTAAACCCCCAGCCCCAGTATCTCAATGCTTTTGCAAACTATCTTAAGTTATTTGTACATTGGGAGGAAAGTTTTGTTATTCCCATTATACAGATGAGGGAGTTAAATGATCTACCTAAGTGTGTAGCCATCTAATAATTGGCAAAGCTAGAATGTAAACTTAGATTTGCCTGACTCCAGAGTGTGTATTCTTCCAAACTTTGTCATACCAAATCTTTTTCTCCTCAGATGTCACTGACCTTTACGTAAAGGAGTAACGAATTTTCTTTCTTTTGGCAGCTGGAGATTTGCATTTTACTTACTGCTTAGTGTTGCTGGAGTTGCATTTCTTTACGATGTAAGTTGTCTTTTTGATATCTTTGGAATCTGTCTTTAATTTTTAAAATTTTTGACTGTGAATTCCTTTGGGGTATGTTCACAACAGATAATCAGCTTTAGAGATATCTCTTGGGATTCAAGGGTTTTTTAAAAAAAATTTATTACTATGGCTATTTTAAGATATGTTTACCTATAAAAATGCAATAATTGAATTGGTTCAAAAATAATTTTTTAGTAGGTTTATTGTTGAAAATAATTCTCTCAATGAGACAGTCCTGTTTACTGATTCCAGACTTGTAGTGAATTTCATAGGGGTATTATACAGAACCATGAATAAATGCCTACAAAGGAGAAATAGGTACAATAGAAACAACGTGAATATGCAAAAGAGTCTTCCTATGCATTTTTGCCCCGATGAACATCAAGAAAAGTTTATATTTTCTACAGAAATTAGCCTTTGATTCTGACAAACTTACTGTTTGTCCCTGTTTTTACAGAAACCTTGGGCATATGACTTCTGGCAGGTTTGGAATGGCTATCCCAGACAGGTAAGTCCCCTCTGATATAGCTGCTTCCTTCCTGTAACATCCAGGCTCTTAAAATTATCCCTTAGTTAAGTTTTAGTACTCCTTCCTGATCTTTGTCAACTACCAGGTCATCCTCTGGCTCCTTCCCTTCTTGGGCTTTCTAATTCTTATCAACTCATCACTTGTCTCAGTCCTTTAATTTGTGTACAATTAATGAAATACATATTTGGATTTAAATGTACCATTTACCACTTATTTTTTATTTGTGCCACTTGTTGAATTCCTTTGTTTTTCCCTCTAGCTTTTCTGTGGGACAGTCAAGCTTTTTTTTTTTTTTTTTTTTCCAGTAACGGGGATCGAACTCATGACCTTGCGCTTGCCAGGCAGGCGCTGTGCCCCTGAGCTAAATCCCCAGCCCCAAGTCAAGCTCTTTTTAAAATCACTATTCCATTTTCCCTTATAGTGATTTTTCATGGATGCATAATTTCATTTGTTGAATAAATATTATAAATTGTATTCATTAAATAAATATATTTATTTTTAAAAAATTATCCTAGAAATTACATTCTTGACTAGAGTATAATATAAATTAGTACTTTTTCCTCTTTCTAGTCACTGCAAGGCCATTAGAATACCTACCATTAGAATGGGAGCCAGGGATTTAGCTCAGTGGCACAGCACTTGCCTGTCAAACATGAGGTCCTGAGTTAGATTCCCAGTACCTCTACCGAAAAATACTCCATATACCCTCCTTCTTCAAATATATAAAGCCCTATTAATCATTGCTCTTACTGCTCTATAAGTTAGTCAAGTTACTCTTTCCCTGCCACTCACTGCTTCCTGCATTTCTGTGCTCCCATACGTGGTTATTACTATTCCAGTTGAAGAAATCAAACTGTTATTTTTAACAACAGATCTGTCAGGTTTTGTCTGGCTGAAACTGTTATTATGTTGCCTTTATTTTTAAAATGTTAATAGAACAACTTTATTGAACTAAAATTTGCATACCACACAATTTACAAACTGAAAGTGTAAGAGTCAGTAGGTTTTAGCACATTGGCAAGAGTTGTACAATGACAGCCACAGTCAAGTTTAGGTCATTTTTGTTACCCCAAATCAAAACGTTCTACCTCCTATCTTCCTGCCATCTATCAGCTCCTTAAGTTTATTTTTTAAAGAATATTTTTTGCTGGGTGTGGAAGTCTAGGTTACCAGCTGTTTTTGTGAGCACCGTAAAGATGCGGTTCCATTGTCTTCTGAGTCCCATCCATTTCTTTAAGAATTCAGCTGTCACTTTTATTCCTGCTTCTTTGACATAATGTCTTTTTTCCTAACTTATTTTCATGCTTTTGCTTATCTTTCAGCAGTTTTATTACAAAATGCACAGATTCCATTTTCTCTGAGTTTATCCTACTCAGAATCTATGGTACATCTAGAATTTGTGGACTGATATCTCTAGTCCGTTTTGGAAACTTTTTAGTTATTGTCTTTGCCTCTGTCCCTTCCTCTCTTTACTCTCTAGAATTCCAGTTACAGTGTGCTAGTGTCCTAAACCTTTATGCTAGATATCATGTGTCTCTGATGCTTTTAAAAATATTCTCCATCCTTTTGCCTCTCTGTGCTTCAATCTTTGGGGAAACAATTCTGCATTGGTCTCTTGCATTTCTGCACAAGATATGAAAGGAGACACTAAGACACTAACTGCCTTTGTTCTAGATAATAATCTAGTCAAAGTTGTTCTTATAGCAGACAGTCCCAGATGATCTAAATGTCTTCCTCTGGAGAAAAAGGTAGGCATGTTATAAAAGATTCAGGTCCCCTAGCTCAGGGTTCCTCTCGTGTAACACAATCCATAACATATGCAGTTGTCATCTGATGCCCTATGGGAATTGAGGATGAGAGAACTTGCCAAAATACAGATACTCCAGCTACTGTTATTATTGTGAGTCATCTGGTGCTCTATCTTTGGCTTAGGAGCCTCCTATCTTCTACCTGCATCTATGAAACTTGTGGTAGACTAACCTGTTTGTTTGCAAGTAGGATAAAATCACAGGTATTTTACACTTTCCTGCGTCCGCCAGTTCACTGGTGCTTTTGCCAGCAGAGTCCAATCTGGTGTTAAACACATCTTTTGAGTTCTTAATTTCACTTACTGCATTTTTCAGTTCTCAAATTTTCATTTAATTTTTTAATGGATTTCTGTTCTGTACTGAAAAATTTCCACCTTTTAGTCTGTTTTTGAAGTTATTTTAAAGTCTGAGTATAGTAAATCTTGTTTACCTCTAGATCTATTTTCTTGCTTGCTCCTGTCTCCCTCTACTTTATAGCTTTTTATTGAATGACTGACATTGTATATGAAAAAAATATAGATTGTCAGCATATTATCTTTCTTCTGAGATTTACTTTCCCTTCTGTTAGATGTTAGAGTAGATCATATGATTGAGCTGATTCAGTGTGGACCACAGTCTTTGTGAGGGTAAATGTATTTCCAAATTACTCATTTCCTAAAGTGTCTTTCTTCTGCAGGTTTAAATAAAAGATTACAATGTTTATGATGACCGCTTTTTGTTAGTTGGCTTAAAGATCAGTTTGCTTTCTAGCACTATGAGATAACCAAAACACCTGCTTAGCTTCTGCTGTTTCTTAACTTCTGGGTTCCAGAAACTAAATTGGCAAATGCAGAATTTGTGATATGTATAATTGTGGTTTTCTTTGGCTTTATTCTGCTTAAGGTCTATGGTACTTATTGAATAAGGGGTTCACTTGAAATAGTTTATTTTAATGCATTCTTTTTCTTTGGGATCTTTACTTCACAGGTTCTGGATGCCTGGGTTGCTTTCTGATGCCCTCAAACAGATATCCACCTTTTATCCAGATTTTAAGTTGTTCTCACTAAGATCAGTCTCACACAGGCTTGTTTATCATAGAAGAAAGCAGAAACTTTGTCCATTTATGGCCTTACTAAGGTTGATATGTTCATCAAGAATGAAAAATTAGTTCTTTTAAAGTGTTAGTTTCAGCAATAAAGAATCGAAGTGTAGACGAGAAGGAACTAAACATTATCTAGGCCACATCCCAGTCCTGCTGTTTTCTATCTCCAACTTACTCATCTCTTCTCAGGTGTATTAGTTAGTTATTGGTACATAACAAACTACCCCAAATTTTTTTGCTTAGGATTTGGGTTGGAAAACTGCACTAGGCTCAGCTGAGCAGTTCTTCTCCATGGTATCAGCCAGGTCATTGAGCATTTTAATCGGTTAGTAGCTGGCCATCATCCATGTTTTTACCAGTCAGTGCTTTGATCCACTTCGTTGCAACCTCTCCAGCAGGCTAGCTCAGGTTTCTTCCATGGAGCTTAGGAAAATCTCTGCTTGAATCACATTGGCTTCTGTCCCCTTGCCTAAAGATTGGGTTCAAATTCATAGTCAGTGTGGGAAGGGACTACCCAAGGATATGGGTATCAGGAAGCAGCATTCAGTGGAGCATTAAGGCAACAATCAGATGACACATAATGTCTCAACTTACTACTATACAAGTAAGGAAAATTTTAGCAACGGAAGTTTAATTCTTTTTTCAGAAGACATTTTTAGAGTCCTAAAATAATTGTACATATTTTATTACTTCTGACCCCTAGACTATCACCACAAAAGAAATTAAGACATCAGAATTTCAGTAATAGTCGAGAAACATTAAACAAGGTAAAACGTGGGACAAAAAGAACAGACTTCCTGTTGTTCTTAAGTAGATATTTTAAAGTTTTTTTTTTAAAATTTAACTCCAATTGAATTAAAATAAGGCAGTTCCTGTAGCAGTTTTAATTTTTAAGGCAAAACATTTGACTTGATTTTAGAGTACTTGTCTACCATTTTAGAAACAAAATACCAAAATATTATCTCCAGTTCTTTTTTAGAAGTTGAAATATGAATCATTGTCTTTTTATGGAATTTTTAAGATTAGATATAGATAGGTTTTAGTGCACTAAAGTGAGTTGTTTTAAGTGACATTTAAAGTAATAAATACTTATCTTTTCCTCAGCCGTTGCTGCCGTCTCAGTACTGGTACTACATGTTAGAAATGAGTTTTTATTGGTCTCTGACATTTAGCCTTGGCAGTGATGTCAAGAGGAAGGTAAGTGTATCATTTACAAGCTTCTTTATCAGTTTCTTCAAATATTTTCATCCCTATGTGTATTTAGTTTCAGTCCATGGATCTTTTTGCTTTTGTTAGTACATAGAATAGTGCAAATTACGCTTGTTCTTTGGTGCCTTGGTAAATATTTGTAGTGAAACGTTATAGAAATTTTAACTTTGAAGTTCTACCCCTGTTCAATAAGTAAAGAAATCTTTTAGGTTACCTGTTTGTTTCAGTTTGGGAATTGTGTCTTTTAATGGGTAGAAGAAAAGTGTTAGCCGTGGTCATCCTGTAGCCATGTCTTTTGGTTGTTGAAAAAAGGTTTTGAAAAAACTTCACTTTGGTTGCTGAAAAAAATCACTGTATGAAATACTTTCGATGTTTTCAAACACTTTGAAACATTTTTTCCTTAGTTTATCAATATCATTTGTAGGAAATTTGGCTTCAAGCTTTTTCGCTTTGCTTTGTTTTCAGGGAAAACTGAGTCACAGGCATGTTAAATGCCATCTCAGGTCACAAATACGAGCATTTCAGAAACTGCGTGGTGGACCTCTTTTCTGGTCCAGCAACCCATGTTAGACCATGAATGCAGTCACAAGAGTTCCTCATATATGTTAGCAAAACAGGTCAAATGATGAATAACCTTGGCCTATATGTCATAAACTACACCCAAGGCAAAAGTCAGGTTGGTGGCAAAGTTTATATGATCAATAGAATTGAGTTTAATTCAACATTAGATAAAATGAAACTGGTTTCATTAAATGATGTTTGAGTTGAGTGGTGGATGTTTCTCGATACTAGGAGGCACACTGTACTGTGTTGGACATCTTCAAAGAAAACTCATGGAATCTAAGAACATACTATGAAAAAAATCTGATAGATGTGATCTCTATTTCCATATAACTAAATAATAGCTGTAGATTAACTGTTATTAACTTTAGGCTAAGTATAAATTGAAATTTAATGGATTGAGTCTTTTTCTCCTCAAGGGATAGAATGGAAAATATTTATTTTTAGAAAGTGTTCCTAGATAGGTAAGTTGATTCTATTTTGACCCTTTATTTATCCTTCATGAATTTCATGGTATTTGATTTCCTTTTTACTATTTGCAGGTGCACTGAGCTCCTTTTCAAAAATTAAAGCATATGTTCTTTTCTAAAGAGAATAATTTTTAAAAAGAACAATAGCAGAATAGTAACAGCACAGACAAAAACAAAACAAAGCAAAAATGATAAAAATGATACAGGGAAAACATATATTTTAAGCCTTACAAATACATATCTTCAGAGACGTAAAACTATTTGGAGAAGGCTGGACCTCACCTCTGCAGTTAATTGCCTGGGTTTGGACTCCTGACTTTACCACCCACTAACATATTTAGCTAGTAGGCTAAACTTCATAAATTTGGTTTCCTCATCTATAAAATGAAGCTAAAACTAGTTTCTATCTCTTTAGGTTGTTGTGAGGGTTAAATCAGTTAATCCATATAAAATACTTCCTGGTTTACAGTAAGTGCTCCATAAAATGAGCTATTATTATATCAGATTTACTCTTTCAGTTTGGCTTCAGGGAAACTGCAACCTTTAAATTAAAAAAAAAAAAAGTTTTGAGATATTCAAGTCATACAGATGAACCATGGAAAATATGCAGTTCAATCATTTTTAGTGTGTTCACAGAGTTATACAGTCATCACCACCGTCAATGTGAGGACATTTTCATCACCCCTAAAAGAAATCCTGGACCCTTTAGGAGCCACTCCTCATATCTCCCAATCTCCCCAGCCTCTGGCAACCATTAATTTACTTTCTGTCTCTATGAATTTACCTTCTCTAGCTACCAGTTCATATAAATCGAGTCATGCAACATGTGGTCTTTTGCATCTGGTTCTTCTCATTTAGCATAATATTTTTAAGGTTGGTCCATGGGTGTTGTACGTCAGTACTTTCTTTTTATTACCAAATAACGGTCCGTTATGTGACTAGATCTCATTTTGTTTATCCATTTAACAGTTGATAGATGTTTGGGTTCTTTCTTCCATTTAACTATTATGAGTAATACTGTGAATATTAGTATACAGTTTTTTATGTGAACTTACATTTTCATTTCATCTAGATGTGGAATTGCTGGGCCTTATGATAATCCCATGCCTAGTTTTTGCGGGGAACTACCATACTGTTTAACAAAATAGCTGCACTATGTTATACTCCAACTGGCAGTGCACAAGGGTTCCAGTTTCTCCATCTCCTTGTCAGCACTTGTTACGATCCATCGTTTATCCTGTACCTCTTCAAATGAGTGTGAAGTGGCATCTCAATATGATTTGGGTTTGCACTTCCTGATGAGTAATGAGGTTGATGCCGTGCTGTGTGCTGATTGGTTATTTGTCTATCTGCTTTGCAGAGAATCTTTATGTTGTCATGCTCCATGATGGTAGTTTTTCTTAGTTTTGATTTTCTGGAACATTTAGTAAACTTTCATTTGTTTTTCCGTACACAGTAACTTACTTTAAAGGTTGTACAGTTTTATTATACCACCTTTTTCCTTTTTGGAAGTAAGCGAGGAACAAATAGTACATATAAATGTGCACAGGAATATGTTTGTATATCTGTTATGTATGTGTGTGTATGTACATATGTCTAGTGTGTCAGTGGAAAGAACAACAGATGTTAGAAGTTAGATATGAACAACTGTTAGAATGAACAACTGTTCATTGCAGTCTTAAAGTTAAATGACTTAATCAGTGAAGATAATACTCACCTTGTTAGGGTTGTATTTAAAATTAAAGTGGAAGAGTTTTGTAAATTTCAAAGCATTCAGATGTAAGTTACTGGTATTATTATTGTGATCTCCTCCAGTGATTGGAAAATAACTACACTTGCTTAATGGCTTCTATTTTTCTCTTGTTAAATAGGATTTTTTAGCTAATGTTGTTCACCACCTGGCTGCTCTTAGTTTGATGAGCTTCTCTTGGTGTGCTAATTATATTCGCAGTGGGACCCTCGTGATGATTGTACATGATGTAGCTGACATTTGGCTGGAGGTAAATGTTCATAATTAAAAAGATAACAATGCCACATCCTGAGTTTCTGTAATTTCTCTGAGAAGAAATTGTCTGAGAGTGATTTAGCAGGATTCTGTGTCCTGAAAGCACCCTAAGTCTGAGAATGTCTCAGGGTTCCCAGCTTCTTCAAGATGAAGAAAAAATAAATCAAACCTCTTGTTTTACGTTTTCCACACTTCTTCATGGTCTTAGCAAGAGCTCAATTTGTGGGACTCCATTTAATGAATATGCATGCTGAGGCTGGCCCAGGAAGTACGATGAGATATTTCAAGAAGGAATGAACTATAATTTTTAGAAGGAAAGACTGGATTTTTGGCATTCTGGATTCTCCAACTTGGATGGTACCATCTATTCACTCAAGCCAATTCCTAAATACACACTGGGTCCCACATTGGCTACCTGATCCTCTTGCAATCCCATCCCCGGCTTTAAGAAGTACAAGCTCAGGGCTGGGGATTTAGCTCAGCGGCAAAGCACCTACCTGGCAGGCACAAGGAGATGAGTTTGATTCCTGGTACCGGAAGAAAAACAAAAGCAAAAAAAAGAAGTGCAAGCTCATGTTTTTAAAATGGTATTCATTTTCTCAAGGAGAAAGAGGACTTATGATGTTTTTTGATGTATTAAATGAGACTAAAGTCTTCCTAGTGTCATACTGCACAAAATACGAGGAACAAAGCAACACTGAGACTGTTTTTTCTACCTGCTTCTGTGACACATTGGTTTCTGTTGATTTTGAGGCTGTGATTGAGTGGTTGTTCCTCTCACTGCTAGGTCCCCTGCTGTATTTAGAGCAATATTTCCCAGAAGCTTTTAAGTTTTCATTTTAATAGACTCATCTATAATGAACCCAGGGAAAATGATGCTAACCAGCATCAGTTTTGAGATTGTTTCTTAGAAGTCTAATACTTGAGTGTAGGTTGATATGGAAAAAATTAAATTTAATAGAATCTTATTCTTCTATATCAAGGCTCAGCAAACTTTTTTTGGCAAAGGGCCAGACAGGAAATCTAGTTTTGTAGGCTACATGTGATCTCTGTCACATATTTTTCTTTTTTTTAAGTTTTTATGTCCCTTTAAAAAATGTAAAAACCAATCTAAAGGGCCAGCATACTTTAGCCATGGGGTGGACTGTAATTTGCCAAAGCCTGTTTGAGAAATAACCAGAAGTTAGTTAAAGCCATTTCAAAACAACTAGCCACTGTTAAAATACTCTTTGTATACAGAATGTTGTTTCTACTTTGTCTGTAATCCTAATTAGATATATAAATATCATTCTAAAGGTCAAGGTTATTGTATGCGCATCAGAGTAGCAAATGGCTTAGCAAAAGAAAGACTATGCCAGCTTTTCCATATGCTGCTTTCTGAATGCAGCCATTTCTGTTATAATTACCACCTTCTCTGATCATATCTCCTTACCCTGACTGAAAATTAAGACCACATTGACCATGACTTAAGAATTTTGTACTGGTCTGTTGCTTCTAAATGCTCTTATTCGATTGCGTTTGGTGTGTGTCCAATGTGAAAACAGTTCCATTGTGTTATTAAAAGGGAATTATATGTTCAAATAAATGTTGGGTTTTTCCCACCCACTGTCTTCTTACCTGTCAGGGGCACAACTAATCCCTAAGAGCCTTGGGCAAGTCACTTTCTGTTTTGTTTTCTATCTCCAGTTGTAACAGCAGTAGTCTGTCTATCCCTTAGGGTGTATTGTGAAGTTTAGCGCATTACTGTTTGAGTGTGTTCTGAGGTCCTTAGGTAAAAATGTCAAACTTAGAAGAACTTTCATGGATAAACTATCAGAACAGCTTCCTGCTCTGAATAATCATGAGTCATTCTTCTCTGGTACCGGGAACCGAACTCACGACCTTGCGCTTGCCAGGCAGGCGCTTTGCCACTGAGCTAAATCCCCAGCCCCTTCATGAGTCATTCTTGATTCAGAAATCATGATCTAACTTGAGTTTCAATGCAGAGGGCTGGTACCATCATTAACAGTTGACAGGAGCCTATTTTCTTTATACTGCTTCCCTGGAGTTGTTTTAGTGTTTGCCCTGTCAATCAAATTCTGACTAAATACAGCCATGGTATCATTTTTGCCCCTGTTTAGATCTTCCTTGAGATAGAGCTTAGTAATCTTTCATATTCCTCCAGACAGTCGGTAGCATATTTCTTAGCTCTTTCTTGGCAAGTAAAAACATACTCAACATCTATAGTTCTTACTCATGACCTTTTGCCTTCTTCATGCATTTTCCTGATCCTCTAATTTGCCCCATATTCAAGTTTGGATAGAGGACCCAGGATACTAAATGTATCCTGACTGGTACTTACCATAGTAGAGGAGCTACCATCTGGTATCTCATCATCACACAGTCTAGAATGTGCACTTTAGCTCTCACAGGTGGGCTTACGGAGATTCTTAAGCCTGTGCACATTAGCATCCCACCTGACCTAGTGCTTGACCTTACAAAGAGCTATCCAGTCCATTCCAGTCACTCTCAAGTGCTGCCCTTTGCTCCTGTGTCCGCTCCTCCCTACCAAGTGTTCTAGTTCTCTAAGTCAGCAACTGAAGCTATTCTATTGAGCCCTATGCCACCCTACAGGATGGTCATGTCTTCAGCTCATGGTAAGTATGGAAATTACAACATAAACCCTTCCTGGAATGTACATAGGTTGCCTTTCTTGTCTTAGAAGGGTCTTGAGCATCCCAGGTGATATCAGTTCTGAAACTCCCCAAGTCCAAGCCACGCCCTCGAGGGATGGCTTTCTCCCACACAGCTCATGCTCTGCCCCCTCCAACTCCTATCCATTGTCACCCTCCAGCTCCCACCAGAAGCTTTCTCCTTTAGGCTTGAGCTGCACTGAGTAATGCAATGGAATATCCTCATCCATTAACCTTACAGTACCACGTTCAACATTCTTTTCTTTAATTCTTTTTATTTAACGTAGATATATGAGCATAAAATAAAGAAGAGGCAATCAAATGTTTAAAATTTTATTTCAACCGGGTCAGGGCTCCCAAGAGTTCCCTGCTGATACCTCTTCCATCACGTGCCTTGAAATATCCACCTTGATTGCAGCATTCCCAGCCCAGCCTACATTTCATTCCTCACTCAGCCTTTCTTCAGTTCAGGCTTCTCCCAGTTAAGTGGAAATATTAAATGCCAAAGTAGACTGCATGCCAAGATTGATTATGCTAACTTCTAGTCTTTTTGAAAAATGCGTCATATTTTAGTCATTTTAACATTTCTTTTAAAGACGTTATATTACGGAAAATTGCAAACTCAGCAAAATAAAGAGTATGATGGACTTCTCCATCTTTAATAGTTATTCATATAGCCAGGCTGTTCAATCTATGGCACCGTCTACACTCCTCACTTTCCTCTGATTGTTTTCAAGCAAATCTCAGATATCTTATTTAATTTATTAATTTTCAGTTTGTTTTTTTTTTTCCTCCAGTACCGGGAATCGAACTCACAACCCCGTGCTTGCCAGGCAAGCACTGTGCCACTGAGCTAAATCCCCAACCCCTTAATTTATTAATTTTTAAAGTTTATGCTGCTATCATTTTATCTAAATGCAGTTTCCTTTGTTTTCAGTCTGCTAAGATGTTTTCCTATGCTGGATGGAAGAAAACCTGTAACGTCCTGTTTTTAATCTTCACTGTCGTATTTTTCGTCACCCGCTTCGTTATTTTTCCCTTCTGGTGAGTAAACAAGGTGCCGTCCCCAGCTGCGGTCAGTGCTGTGCTGAGGTAGCCGTGGCGCACTGTTACGGTCAGAGCGTTACCCTCCTTTTCCTTACACTGATCCTCAGTTACTTGTGCCAAGTTCAGTTGAAAAAAAAGAGAATATGATGAGCCGTTTTTATAATTTACATTTTTATAGATAATTAAAACAACATCCTCCAGTGTGGAAAAGGCTTATTCCAAAGGGAAATGGAAAATATGTAAGCCAGTGAGTGAGCAGCAACTCCTACTCTGCACCTTGTTTCATAAAGATGGATCTTTCTTTTGACAGCTTTTCCAGCTACTCAGTGAAAAGCCAATCACCAGCTCTCTAGAAGAAATACATGTTCTGTGTTATGATAACTGTAGCCATTACCTGAGCGCCAGGCACTCGATTAAGTTGTTTAAAAATCTCGACTGTAGCCTACATAACAAATTATAGATAGGTTCTATCACGCCCACTACACAGATGGGGGAATTGGTGTTTATGTCACTCTCCACGGCCACTGATCCTAACAGTGATTTAGGTATCATTTTGACATTTATTGCTTCTTGATCAGTGTGTTAAACTTACTCAGCGATGTGCTAGCAAGGAAGGACGTAATAGTGTATCTCCCGTGACAGTCCTCCTACTGGCAAGCATATTTCTCCACGTGTCCACTGACAGAAAATAGAGATGTAGGGAAGCTCTGGTTTGGAACAAACAGCCTTTAACCAACAGTGACATAGGCCTGGTCTGGAAGCTTCAGAACCTCTCAAGAGATAAATTGATGCTAATGAAGATCCCAGGATCCAGGGAAGAGAGATAGAGACTCTGGCTCTAGGCCTCATTGCTAGGTGGATGGGCAGTGTCAGTGGTTAGCACCGAGGGCAGTGTGGCCAGAGAGGTCAATAAGAGCTGCCCTCCACTTGAAAGCCAGCTACTTCTTCTCAACCATCATGAAGAGCCTTACTTAGGCATTTTCTGAAGAAGGGAAGCCGAGTGCAGTGGTTAAGTTAATGGATGTGACTCAAGCCTGGTTGCAAGTCCTGGCTCCTTGTGTACCTTACTACTTGTGTAAGATCTTGGATAGGTTAGTTAGAGCATTGCTCTGTGCCTCAAGGTTCTCATATGTTAGTTGGAAGTAAGTGTTGACATGAGGCTTACCTGAGGCAGTATGTATGAAAGCTTTAGACAAATGTCTGGTGCTTACTAACGACTCAGTGAATGCTGTTATTAAAATTATTAGTATTTCAGAATTGGAGTTTAATCTTGAGCCAAGTCCAAGATATATACCTTACCATGGTTAATAAATCACATTGCTGTCACTTTTTCTCTGATTGAGCAGGTATGTTTATGAAATTATACATTTGTGCTAGCTATTATTATTATTATTAGGATGGAACCCAAGGACTCATGCATTCCAGGCAAGCACTGTACTACTAAGCCCCTCCTCCAACCCTTGATAGCAATTATCAATAGGATAAATACTGACTTGTGGATAACAGTTGGATGTAGCTCTTTAGTGTGACTTCCATGGTACTGTAAGTCCGGGGTCTGCGCAGCAGTGCCTCTCATCATGTAAGGGACCACAGGCTTCAATTGTCTGTTGCTGCATAGCGAAGCATCTGCAAACTTGGCTTAAAGGAGTGAGTGGGTAAATTTTCCACACAGGGCCAGAGAATAAATGTTTTAGGCTTTGAGGGCCGCGTATGGTCTTTGCTGCGTATTTTTCTTTGTTTTGTTTTTCTTTACAACCTTTTAAAATGTCCTGAGCCATACTTAGCCCACACAGCTGTTCAAAAGCAGGTTACAGACCAGACTTTATCCATAGGCCATAGTTCACAGACCTCTGTTAAAACATCAGTTGCCAATTACTAGTACCTCGCATGGTTCTCAGAGGTGATCAGCCTCAGTTAGATGGTTTTCACTTAGGGTCTATAATGTGGTTACAGTCAAGTGGTGGCAGATGGCCTTTCCATGTGGCTTTAACCTTCTCATAGTGTGGCAGCTGCATTTCTGGTGTGAGCCTCTTTTTTTTTTTGTTTTTCTTTTTAGTACCAGAAATTGAACTCAGGACCTTGTGCTTGACAGGCAGGTGCTTGTGCTGCTGAGCTGCATCCCCAGCCCCAAGTGTGAGCCTCTTAAGAGAGAACTAGGTAGACGCTACATCTCCTTCTGTAACCCAGCCTCAGAAGACACATCATGTCACTTTGCACCTTGCGTTCTTCATTGGAACTAGGTTCTGAAAGCTCTGACCATTTTCAAAGGAAAGAAAATTAAACTCTTTCTTGGTAGGAATAATTTCAAAAAGTTGGCAGATGTATTTTTAAAGCACACACCATGGAAGCTCTCAGTCCAGAGAACGCTCTGAGAAGCTTCTACAGTATCGCTGCTGAGTTTTCTTTGGATTCAGGAAGGAAGAACATTCACTTCTGTCTTTCCTGTGCTCACTCAAACAAGCAGTTCATTCTCCTGCCAGCATTTCTGGATTTCAAGAAAAATTAGTTACATGCATTTGACATTTTCTTGATGTTGACACTGAATTCACCAGGCCACTGTAGAGGGCAGCAGGGATCACTGCCATCTTTAGGGAGATGGATTGCAGGGGAAAAAATACCTGACTGTGTGGATTTTCTATGGGTGTGGTTTTACTACTTCTGTACCAATACTGACTGATTCTATTTGTTTGGAAGGTTGAGCAAAACCTCATCAAGGCATTAAAAGTTTGGGAATCAGTTTTTAATAGTCTTGAAAGACAGATCACTAGCTTGCTAAGGTCCATCTGTCAGTAAGGGAGTTTCCTTCAGCTGCAGTGGACTGCTCTGGCTTAGCTTTATCCATTTGAACATGTCATGCTATTACCTTGGTGGTACCGAAAAGGGAAATGTAGTTTCTTGTCATCAGCCTGGTCCCAACCATCTGTCCAAACCTTGTAACCCCGTAGACCCATTTCTTAAAGATAGTTTGTTTAGTCCAGGTGTGTTGGGAAACTATCATACACCAAGCACTGAGCATCCGTATGTCGTTATAGATGCAACTAGAAGGCTGCACAGATGTAAATGTAACCTATGCAGGACTCAGACACTTGCTGGGGATATGGCTTAGTGGCACAGTGCCCATCTGGCAAGTGCAAGGTCCTGCGTTCAATTCCCGGTACAAAGAAAGAAGATAAAAAAAGACGCAGACATTTTAGAGGTGCTGTGGGAGGCCATTTCCAGTCCAGTTGCTCTGTTCTTCCAGGCTGCTTTTGTTGTACATTTGTGTTGAGCTATAAAGTGAGAGAAAACGAACTGGGGTTGTGCGCATTTGGGATTTGTCTGGAGGCCGCGAGCAAAAGAACTGGAGCCTTACATTGTACCCTCTTTCCCTTTCTTAGATTCATCTTTCCTTTCCACCAGCCTCAAGCATATTTGCCTTCCTTTTGTTTCCCTTTTGTATTTATGCAACTGCACCTCCCTTTCCTTTCCTGCTGTGTCTGACAATCTCATTTATCTAATTCTTAGTGTCAGCACAAATCAATTACATTGATTTTTCTAAACATTGTTTCATTAACATTAGGTATAAATGCAAATTGGCATTGGTCAAATTGCTTTAATTGCCTGATAATCAAATTTATTTGTATTTTTATTCAAAACCATTGAAATCACAGGTTTGTATTTTTCACATCATATTTCCAACTATTGTTTTCAAAAAACCTGTATATTTTTGAATTATACAAATGCCACCAAAGAATCATTAGGGTACAAAGACTTTTCTAAGCCCAGATAAGTGATTTCTCTGACGCCTTATAATGTCTTCCATAAATAACAAGAACTGACTTGTCATTTGGAAGGGAAGGAGAACTCTGTTTTGATGATTTTTCAACATACAATTAAAGGTCCTTCCAGCCCAAGTTTCCAGGTGGTAATGTGGCTCATTGATTCATTGCCTCAATTCAGCACAGCTAGATGTTACAGAGATTACAAAGAATAGGAGACACAGTTCCTATTGTCCAGGAGTACATATGGCCATAGAAGAAATCTCTGTATCCATCCCTTATTCATGTATTTGAAGACTGTTAATAGTGACCTGTGTTTCTCAGATGTGCCAAAGAAAAAATTCAAACATTTTCACCTGTCGGTAACGAGATGTACAGCTTCTTTACCTCTAAGTGTACCTATGCTTGTAGTCATCTTCCCCCTCCATCACTGGTCACTGCATTTTATATCTCAGCCTCTAATTATCCAGCTATTATTAGTATAAGAAAACTGGTACCCTGGGAAGCCTACATGTGAAAGGGAATTTTATGGGCAGTGGGACCATCTAAACACTTGGAATGGCTGGCAGAGAAAGGAGCATTCAAACAAACAAACGAATTTAAAGGTAAAGTCAAAAGCATCCAGCAAGGTTCTTAGCTGATACTCCTACGGAAATGAAGGTAAAGATGAGTGCTTTCTTTCCTCAGAAGGCCCTAGGCCTGGGGGCCTGCATAAGTACAGCCCTGAGCACAGATCTGATGGCACCATTGTGAACACAGTGTCCTTGGTGCTGTCAGCAGAACAGTGGGGGAGGAGGGTTGCTCTTTTGGAGCTAGAGCCACTCCCTTGAGCCACCACTGCAGATGTAAATCTTGGAGCTGGATTTTCCAGTTACACACATGCTGGAGTCAGCGAGTTGTTCACACATGCTCTCTGTCTCAAGTGGTAGGAGCTTCGAGAGGAGTTCTTTCACCTGGCCTGCACCTCTGTGCTTGGTACCTTTTCATGCTGCTAATAAATTCACAAAGGACAGCTGCAGTGATCGTCCTTCAAACCAGAGTCTTGGAGTAAGGGACTTTATTCATAATTTAGTTCAACCTCTTGCATTTATTTAGAAATAATTTCAAGTTTACAGGAAAATTTCAAGTATATAACAGAGAATTCCTATATATCCTTTACCGTTTGGCATTTTGGCCCATTTACACACACACACACACACACATGCGCGCGCGCACACACATACACACACACTTTGTTTGAAAGTTACAAACATCAGCTAAATAGTTTCTTATGCCCCAAATACTTGACAGTGTATTTCCTAAAAATAAGAACATTCTCTTCTTTAATCACAGGAAATTTAGCAATCTCCCTTCTGGGTTCCAGTTTTGTCACTCAATCCAATAATGTCTTTTATTGCTTTTTCCCTTCACCACTTAGATGCTGGCTCCAACCCTGAATTACATTTAGTTGACATTTATGGGAAACAGTTTCTTCTCCCTCTTTGTCTTTCATTCATTGACATTGTTGAAGTGTTTAGGTCCCATATTTATTTTTCAGATGAGAAGCTGTGCTATTTCTAGGATCACAGTTAATGATGGAAGAACCAGAACTAGAAACAAGACGTTTGAAACACAAAACAAATACCATTCCAATTAAGTTACTAAAGTAGATATTAAGAGTGACATCATTTACCCTCACTATTTATTAAATTGCCTTCAACTACATAGTAATTTTGAAATCTGAGACATCTGTACAATAGACAATTTCTCACCAGTAGAACCAGTACTCGTTATCCTAAAGGACTTAATGTTCACACCTACAATTATCAAGAACAAAGAAACCCTTTGACTTTAAAATTTTAGCAGAAAAATATACTTTTCATGGTTGCTTTACCTACCCCAACAAAACCAGCTGTTATTTATACCAACATCATGACTTGTTCAAACCATGCAAACTCATGTGATTGAAACAGTTAAGATAGGAAAGAAAAGCATAAACAGAAAAAGCTGAGCTTCGTAGTCCACAGTAGTAGTTTATCAATTTGGAAAGATTAAATCCAAGTGGACATGAGCTGAGTGGCGCAAGAAATGTGGGAGTCTGGCAGACTCTTGGCATTCTCTGTGAAAAGGAAAATTCCAGTAGTCACTGTTAAGCTAGTGACTGATGATAACGTATGCGAGTGCTATGTGTTCATGCATGTGCGTGCACACGGTGGGGAGAAAGCTGGGAAGGACGGATGCATTCATTTTCTCTTTCTTTTTGAAACAGAGAAGAGGAAGTGTAGATTGTGAGATTGGGCTATTCTTTAGTGGGATACTAGGGCACTGGAACCTACCATTGACAGTGATCCAGCATCCTCCCCTCTGAGTTCCTCGCCCGTGTCATGGCCCACCTGTCCCCACCATCCTACTACAGAGAATATTCAGGCAGCACAGTCCTACTCCTCTCTCCTCTGGAGCATGCCCTCCTTCTGTGAAGTTGGCCGCCTCCTCCCCACCAAACAGAAAGTCCAGCCAGTTCTTCAGCACTATTGTAAAGTGGGGTGGACAGGTTAGGAGCAGTAGTAATCCTAGTGGTAGTGCAAGTGGTAGTTATAATTAAATTCCCAGTTTTGAGTACTTCCCATGTGCTAAGCTCTTCCCATTTGTCAACTCATTCAGTCCTCTTATGGCCCAATGAGGTGGGAGGTGGTGGTCTCATTTAGAGACAGACGGAAACCTAGAGACACAATGAAGCTTGCAGATCTCAGGAACACAGGCACAGCGTGCTCTGCTGAGCTATACCACGGCTCAATACATTATTTTGTAGCTAAATAACATGCTTATAAGCAAATCTATCCAAGAACTCTAAAATCACAATGGTGTATGAAGTTGGGGAAAGGAACTGTTATTCCTTCATATCACAGTACATCCTGAGTTATCAGGCGCAGGCCAAATTGTGCCCAGGTGTCTGTTTATAAAATTGATATAGTATGCTGTGCACTTGAGGAAATGAAAGTGAACATAATCATGGAACTTTTGTTTTGTTAAGCCAAGAATAATTGCACAGGCCTATAACTCCAAATACTCAGGAGACTGAGCTAGGAGGGTCACAAGTTTGAGACTCACTTGAGCAACTTAGTGAGACCCTATGTCAAAATAAAAATGTAGAGGACTGGGGATGTAGCTCAGGGATGAAGTGCTTGCCTGACATATGTGAGACTCTGAGTTCCATTCCCCGTTCCACCACCATAATCACGTAAACGCATACACACACGCACATGCGCACATACACACACACCCTACTTCTTTTATTTGTAAATTTTACTTTGTTGAAGTCTACTCAAGTTCAATGCTACGTAAATGAGACTGTGTCGTAAGACAGTAATAACCCATGCTGACATGCTTTTCTTCACTGGTTCCTTGTCTTTCCCCTTCCCTGAAGTTAAGAAGTATGCTTGTGTTTGAAAAGAGAAAAATGAGGTTCAGAAACACTCTAGTGTAAGCAGTACGCAATAAAATTGTCATTTGCTTTCATTTTCCTCCCAGGAGACAAATTGCACTTTTTTTGTGGCTTGCCAATAATGGTATAAAATGCAATATTACATTTGTTTCTCTTGAGAATTTCCTGGGCATCATAGAAATGAAATAAATGTATGTTTTGGAAGAGAAAAATATTTGTTTTCTTGTTGAAAATTCACAAATGCTTTAGCCATAATGAAATTTCTTCATCTGGTTTTTCAGGGTTTTACACTGCACGCTGATAATGCCTCTGTACTACCTCGAGCCTTTCTTCTCCTACCTCTTCCTCAACCTACAGCTGCTGATTCTACAGGCCCTGCACTTTTACTGGGGCTATTTAATCCTGAAGATGATTAAAAAGAATATATTAAAGAAGGTAAGAGATGCCCAAATATTATTGTTCCTAGCAAGTAGACTTCACTGCCAGATTAAAGGGCAGGCCCAGATACTGAGACACTCAAGTGAATCCATAGTTTTAAATATTTTACCCCTTGGTTTGGTCTTTTTATTTTTAATGTGACTGGGATCGAACCTAGTGCCTTTTATTTTCCAGGTGAGCACTCTACCACTGAACTATTGTCTGATTATTATTAATGAAAATTTTCTCTACAATGTAGATTTTAAATAAATAACTCTCAGGAGCATTTAGAAAATAGCTTTTAGGGATTAAAGGTGTAGTTCAGTGGCAGAGCACTTACCTAGCATGCTTTCTAATCAGTCCATAGGAAGGAAAAAACAAAAAGAAGGAAGAGGAAAAATGCCTTTATTCAAATTTGCTTTCTTGGGGGAAATTTTTTTAATTTCTAAACGGATGGTTACTTTTTAAAGAATCCCCTAGTGAGTCAAAATATTCTCTAGTTTGTTGGGAGCTAGCTGTATGATAATAATTGAGTAACATTTTAGAGCCTTATGTTTACCTTTGGTGAACATCCAATTCACAGGTAGTGATCTTTTCTTGAGATGGTTTCTACCCTCTGAAATATTTTCCATCATTTGGCTCTACTTTGTTTCTGAAAAATCTTATTTTCCTAGATACACCCATGCGTTATCACTTAGCAACAGGGCACATTCAAAAGATGCTTTGTTTGGTGATTTCATCCTGGTGTGACTGTTACAGAGCGTACTCAACAAACCTAGATGGTAGCTTAGCTCAGTGATGGCAAACCTTTTAGAACTTTCCACGATAACAAACAGCCCACTGTGGTACACATGTCATAGATTCGACACCACTGGCAGCTACGTGGTAAACACCTAGGCTAGTATATCCCCACACACATATGCATATATATATATATATATATATATATATATATGGTACAAACTATATATATATGGTATAAACTATATATATATGGTATAAACTATATATATATATATATTATAAACTATTATTTCTAGGACCATTTAGATCAAGCACAAGAGAAAATGATGCAATCAAGAGATGTGTTAAACATGGGATGTATAATGCTTCTGCCAAGGAGCAGAGCACACTCTACAATATACTTTTTTAATGCATAGGAAGAGTACACCCTAAAATAAGAGGTATTCTGTGATAAATACACAAACCAGTAGCTTAGTCAGTCATTATCAAGTGTTACACTTGTTACATACAAGTGTCTGTGCTGTACTTGTATGCAACTGGTAAAGTAAGTTTGTTTATACTAACGTCATCACAAACACGACTAATGTGTTGTTCTACAAAGTTATGATGACTACAACCTTTGTAAGTGATAGGAATTTTGCAGCTCCATTACAGTCTTGTGGGACCACCATCATATATATGGTTCATCATTGACCGAAAGGTAGTTGTATAGCCCATGGCTGTAAAAACAAATTAATAATACCTTTTATACAACACAAGACTTTGTGTTTGTTTTGTTTTGAACTTGGTTCTGGACTTTAATTCCAGAGCAGGACAAAGAAAGGACTATAGAAACGAATAAGACACAATCACTGACTTTATTGAAATAGCCCATTGTTTAGTGGGAAATATTCACCTACTAACAACTCACCATAATGTACAGAATATCAGTGGTAAACAGAGGTCCTAAGGACTTGCTATGGGAGAAGAGATCAAGGAGAAATTCATTGATTCAAGGAGCCAAGGCAAGTTTCACTGAATGATGGAGTTTGATTCTACCTTTCAAAGCAAGAAAAAGATCAAATCACATTCTTGTTTGTCTGGAAAGCACCAAAGGCAGTTTTAGGTGAGCACCTTGCAGGTTAAAAGCTGCTCCTGGTCCACTCTAGAGTGTTACCGTCCATGTATAACACAGATGATGTCATTCTCAAACTGAGGAACTTACATGTGATGAGTAGGCTGGTAATTAGTTGGGCAAGTCTATTTTTTAAATCAAATCTCTCATTAATTCACTTTTCTACTTCATTAATTGTGTCTCAGAGATCCCTGAAGAGTTGACAAATGAAATGGACATTATAATAATTTATCTCTGGGTATTTTGCCACTTTTTTAGCTTCCTGGTCTAGACAGTGGTATAGGAAATTGAACTACATATGTATGTTCTTTTAGTTGCTGGTATGAGATTGTTTCCTTGACAGTTCATTCTCTTGCTTAAAGTTGGAGTGCCAAGAAAAAAAAAAAAACTTTCATTGAATGGTTCTAGTTCATGAAAGTCAAAATAGTTTTTCTATGATCTCTGAAAAAATTACCTTAACTGTAAGTGACTGATAAAGTCAAAGTAACCAAGAGAAGGTTAAGTATTTGAGCCATTAGACAGTTTGTACATCCAGGAGTTGGTGTGATGAGAGGGCGCTCATCTAAGTGTGTAATTCCATTGGGTCAAGCCTTCCTGGACCTCCCATCCTCACATAGAACTGTCCCCTTATTAACTGCTGAGTGATGGCAGTTACAAGTCTGGAAGGGATCCAGGGAGGGCAAAGCTTGGAAGCCAGAAGATAGCCTTCCTTAGGTTCACTGTGATTTTCACATTTCTGGTCGCTAATGTGTCATGCCAGTCCTGATCATAAAGCCAGCAGGCTGGTGAACTGTGGACAAGAATCCCTGATTTTTCACGCTGTACTTTGGAGAAGCTGTTTCCAATTGTGATCTGACAGCAGCGGTGGAGGCCCCTGCAGTCCCAGTCCTTGCAGTCCTATGACTTCAGCTAGCTCGCATGTGCACTGTTTTCCACAGCAGTGGCAAAACTGGCTGTGAAATCAACTTATCCCTCCAAAGCCATAAAAACTCCTTTTAAAGAATGGTATTTGAAGGCATAGTTGCATTTCAGAGCAGAGGAGAGGAGTAGCAGCAGGAGTTGAAATTCTTAGAGGAACAAGTAAATCAATTTTCAACCCTATTTAAAAAGTGTTTAGTATTTAATGCAACTTCAGTTGTTACTAAGGTGACTAGTTCTTGGATGCTTTAAAAATAGAAGTGCAACTCATGGACTTCTAAATTTTTTTTAACCTTACAACAGATTGAGAATTTGTCCCTTTAATTCCTTACCATGAAAGGGTCTCAGTAAATAATTTTGAATATGCAAATGATAAATAATTTGGGGAAATAGACCACACTGCTTTGGATGGAAAGTTACAAAATTATTATCAGTTTTGATCTCCATTAATTTACATGGCACACTAAAGTGAAGAAAATTACTATACTTCTTAAAACGAGCAATTTCTTTGCAATAATTACATTTTGTTTTCCCTAAACAACAAAGTTCTTGTAAACCTATTATGAATAGGGCCTTCCACCATTTACTTTTGTTCTTCAATATCTTAAAAATTGAAGGCATGGCTGCATAGTAAAGAACAGGAGAGGAAATTCTTAGAGGAAAAAGTAAATCAGTTTTCAATTCTGTTTGAGAAGTGTTTAGCATTTAGTGCAACTTCAGTTGTTAACAAAGCGTATTCCGATCCCTTGCCCCCATTTCTTCCCATGTAAACCGGGCATGAGGAGAGGCTCTCAGGAGGCTAATTTATGTAGACCTTGCATTCTCAGCCATCTTGCTGCCCGAGTGTAAGGCTTGGTGCTGAAACCCACAAATCCTCTATAGTGGGTTATTTTGTGATGAACCACCAACCAACCCATCACATCAGGAAACGCGACAGACTGACATCCTCATTTTGTCATCCTCTTTACAAACACGAGAGGTGCTTTTAGAGAAGATTAGAAGAAACATAGTACGCTTTTGTTTAACATTACTTAAGAGAACTTGATCATTCTTAAGCTTTTATTTTCTCTTTCTAAATATCATACTGGGTCCTGGCCAACTCAAGCAAGTCTCTGTGACCTCTTACATTGGGGAATAGCCAAGATGTGCAGGGAGAGCTGAAGCATGCAACCAGTAAAGCCAGGAGGGAGACTCTAGCCCCTTGGCGGCCCGCCCCAGCCATCTGTAACTCAACAGTCAGTGTCTCTTAAGTATGCAGATGACACTTTCCAGACCCTACACTGTCCAGTTAAAGAAAGGAACAGGCTAACGAACATGAAGACACTGAGCCTTAGGCCCAGTTCACAGAGTGACTTCACGAGAAAGCCCAGACTAGCACTCAGATCTCTTAATTTATAGTACTTCACCATTCTTCTTACTCACTTGAATTAAAGGCAAAAAATAAGTAACTAGAAAATTAATTAAAAGTACTTGTATGGAATAAACAATTATGAGTACATAAATAGAATAATCAAAATAATAGTTTAAAATGCAGCACAAATAAACTTTTGAACTTTTTAAAAGCATAAGAAAATGCTGTTTTGTTTTTGTTTTTTCTTCCGGTACCAGGAATTGAACTCACGACCTTGTGCTTGCCAGGCAGGCGCTGTGCCGCTGAGCTAAATCCAGTGGTGCATACCTGTAATCCCAGCTCTTGGGAGGCTGGGGCAGGAGGATTGTTGTGAGTTTGAGATCAGCCTTGGCTACAAAATGAGCTCAAGTCCAGCTTGAACTGCATAGTGAGACCCTGTCTCAAAAAAGACAAAAAAAAAAAAAAAAAAAAAATGTTGCTTTTTTTAATCCAAAATCACTCACAAGTAAAACAGTTAGGTAGCTAAGAATACAGTTCTGTGCAGAGTCAAGGTTCAGCTCTGCCATGCCCTGACTGAGGAAACTTGGGCGTATTCCTCCTACCAAGTGCCTTGGTTTCTTCACTTGTAAAGTGGGATGCTGATGTTATTACCTGCATAGAGTATAAGGCCCTTCAAACAGTGTCAGGCATGGTACGTGGCCATTATCACTACCATTATTCCTTACGCAATTTCCTTCTCCTGAGTCACAAAGAGCCTGTCAGTGATGAGTTGCACAGTCTTTGGCAAATGCGCCGAATAGCGTTTGGCAACTGTGCGTGGTATTTGGTTAAGCCTCTTCATTTTGCCTAGATAGATGGTGTGGCAGCTGATGTCACCGAATCCTTGGTTTA